CCATTTAATGGAAAAACAGATTTTGATATTTGGAAACAGAAAATTAAGTGTGTTTTAATACAACAAAAAGTTTTCAGAGCTGTCACTGGTATTTTCCTTGAATCAGAAGATAAGGCTAAGCAAATTGAAATGAACGAAACTGCTTGTTCTACTATTTACTTGAATCTGTCTGATTTTGTGCTTAGGATAGTGGGTATTCTTGAGTCCGCTAAGGAATTGTGGGAGAAATTGGATAGTCTCTATACTGATACCTCTTTGCCCGGGAAGTTGTTTTTACTTGAGAAATTCTTTAGGTTTAGGCTTGACCTGACTAAGGATATAGATGAGAACCTGGATGTGTTTAATAAACTGATACAGAATATCAAACAGGCAGGTGATAAACACATAGACGATTATACTCCCATAGTATTACTTAATGCCATTCCTGACTCTTATAATGATGTTAAGTCCGCTATTAAGTATGGTAGGGATGAGATTTCGTTAGATATTGTTGTTAATGGGTTAAGGAGTAAGGAATTAGACCTGAAGCATGCTAGGGGTAGTGCTAGTCAGTCCAGGGACTCCGGTGAGGCTATGTTTGTTAGAGGTAGATCTAAGGGTAGGTCTAAGAACTCTAAGCAAAATAGTCAAAGTAAGAACACTAGTCAGCCTGGGAGAAAGAGGAGCAAATCTAGGAAGAGAGTGTGTTACAATTGTGGTAACGCTGACCATTTCATTAAGGATTGCCCTAAACCTAAGAAGACCGAGCATGCTAGTGTAGTTGTTGATAAATGTGACCTCGGTGATATTTTGATGGTTTGTGACCATGTTAATTCTGTGAGAAATTCCCTGTCTGAGCATGAATGGTTGATTGACTCTAGTTGTACCTATCACATGTCCCCCTTTAGAGATTTGTTTTCTACATATGAATTATGTGATAGTGGCTACGTTTCCTTAGCTGATAATAAGAGATGCAATGTGCTTGGTGTTGGTGATATATGTCTGAAGTTTTCTTGTGGCTCTGTGTTTACCATTAAGAATGTGAGGCATGTCCCTGATTTGTGTCATAACTTGTTATCTGTTGCTGCTTTGGAGAGTAGTGGTTTACAGGGAAAGTGGGGGAATGGTTGCATGAAAATCTTGAAAAATTCTCTTGTGTTGTTTAAAGCTGAGAAGGTGAATAACCTTTATGTGTGTCATGCTAAACCTTTTACTGAGTCTGTGAATGTTGTATGTTCTGATAAGACCTCTTTGTGGCATAATAGGCTAGGACATATGAGCAATAAGGGTTTAGATGTCATGCGTAGGGCTGGTTATTTTGGTAAGGACTCTGTGACTTCTGTGCCTTTCTGTGAATCATGTGTGTTAGGCAAGCAGCATAGAGTCAGCTTCCCTCCTTCCTCTTACCCTAATCTGTCTAAGTGTTCGTCTGTGCTTGAATATGTTCATGCCGATGTTTGGGGTCCTGCCAGTGTTCCTACCCACGGGGGTAGGAAATATTTCCTTTCTATTATTGATGATTTCTCTAGGAAGGTGTGGGTTTGCCTTTTAGAACACAAGTCTGATGTGTTTGTGAAGTTTAGGGAGTGGAAAACCCTAGTTGAAAACCAAACTGGCAGGAAGGTTAAAACCCTTAGGACCGATAACGGGTTAGACTTCTGTAATAAGGAGATGGATAAGCTGTGTGTGGATTGTGGGATAAAAAGGCACAAAACTGTGTCTTATACTCCCCAACAGAATGGGATAGCAGAGAGAATGAATAGGTCTCTGTTGGATAAGGTTAGAAGCATGTTAGCTACCTCTGGTTTGTCTAAGAAATTCTGGGGTGAAGCAGTTACTACTGCTGCCTATTTGGTTAATAGGTCCCCGTCTGTCCCTCTTGGTGGTAAGTGTCCTGAAGCCGTCTTTACCGGTAAGCCTCTTGATCTGTCTAACCTTCGGGTGTTTGGTTGTGCAGCGTATGCACATCAACAGGGTGATAAGTTGGATCCTAGGTCTAAGAAATGTTTCTTCCTAGGTTATCCAGAGGGGGTAAAGGGTTACAGGTTATGGGATAGGAACCAGGTAGGCTTTAAGGTGGTCATTAGCAGAAATGTGGTGTTTAATGAAACTGATTTTCCTTGCTTGACCGAGTCTGTTTCTAATCCTGAGTCTAGGTCTGATAGTACTCCTAGTGAGGTGGAGTTTGTCCCTGTTGTTGCTAGTCCTTTATCTGTTGATCCTGTTATTACTGATGATATTGTTATGCATGATTCTGATTCCTCTGAGCATGATAGTCCCACCACCTCGAGTGAGGTGGAGCATTTGCATGATACTGAGCATGATTTGCATGATATTGGTGTTGAATCTGATTTTCATGACAACAATAATTTGCATGAGTTGCATGTGGAGCCTAGTAGTGATAATTTGCATGATTATCTCCTTACTAGAGATAGGAGTAGAAGGGCTATTAGGAGAACTGCTGATAGTATGCCTGATTATGCTTTCATTGTGCATGATACTTCTATGTTTGCTTTTTCTGTGTTTGAATCCCTAGAGCTGAATGAACCCAAGACCTACCGTGAAGCCTTAGGTTCCAAAGAGTCTCAGAAATGGATTAGTGCCATGAAAAGTGAGATGGACTCTTTGAGAGTGAACCAGACTTGGACCCTTGTACCTAGACCCCCCAACTGTTCGGTAGTTGAGTGTAAGTGGTTGTTTAAGGTTAAGGAAGAACCTAGTGATGTTAGGTTTAAGGCTAGGTTGGTTGCGAAGGGGTTTACTCAAAAAGAGGGGGTAGATTATGCTGAAATCTTTGCTCCTGTTGTTAAATTCACCACTATTTGTATGATGCTTGCTTTAGTTGCTCACCATGACTGGGAAATGAAACAAATGGATGTAACTACTGCTTTTTTGCATGGTGAATTGGACAAAACAATTTATATGACCCAGCCTGAGGGCTTTGTGGATCCCACGAGAAGTAAGCATGTCTGTTTGCTTAGGAAGGCATTGTATGGCCTGAAGCAATCCCCTAGGCAGTGGAACATCAAATTTGATAAATGCATGATATCTTTGAAGTTCCAAAAATCTGTTTGTGATCATTGCCTGTATTTCAAGAATACTTCCTCTGTGCCTGTATATTTGTTACTCTATGTGGATGACATGCTGATAATTAGTCCTTCTCTGAATGCTATTAAAGATGTGCAAAAATGCCTTTGTGCGAATTTTGCCATGAAAGACCTTGGTGATGCCAAGAGGATCCTAGGCATAAACATTGTTAGGGATAGGAGTAAGCGTACTCTTACTTTGAATCAGATTTCTTACATAGAAAAAGTTTTGAGTAAATTCAATATGTTATCTGCTTCTCCTGTTAATGTCCCTTTGGCATCTCACTTTGTGTTAAGTAAGGACCAGTCTCCCAAGACTACTCCTGAAATTGAGAAAATGAAATATGTGCCTTATTCCAGTGCAATAGGGTCGGTGATGTATCTCATGGTTAGCACTAGACCTGATATTGCATATGCGGTTAGTTGCTTGAGTAGATATATGTCCAACCCTGGTTTGCCCCATTGGAATGCTCTTAAGTGGTTGCTTAGATATCTGATTTCTACTGTGAAGCATGGATTAATTTTCTCTAAATGTGCTAGTGGTATTGAATTGATTGGTTAAGTTGTTGATTCTAACTATGCAAATGATAGAGATAACAGGAAGTCGACCACTTCTTATGTTTTTACTTTGTGTGGCTCTTGCATTAGTTGGAAGTCTCAACTACAGCCTATTGTGGCCCTCTCTACCACTGAGTCCGAGTATGTTGCAGCCACAGAAGCGTTTAAGGAAGCCATCTGGCTCAAACGCCTTGTCTCTGAAATTGGGTTTCTCAAAAAGGGAGTTACCATTTTCTCGGATAGCCAATCGGCTATCCAACTTTGCAAAAATCCTGTATTTCATGATAGAACTAAGCATATTGATGTTAGGTTCCATTTCATACGTGATATTGTTGATGCAGGTGGATTCAAGCTGTGCAAGATCCCGTCAGAGTTTAACCCTGCGGATATGGGTACCAAGTGTCTTTCTGCTGAGAAGCACTTGTCCTGTAAACGCGTGTTAAACTTTGACTGTGGATAACTGTGGGTTGCGTAATAAAGTGTTTGCCCGTTTTATCTGCTGATATTACGGGTGACCCGGCGATGATGAGTCTCCTCACAACCTGTTTTGCTACTCTACACCACCTAGGACCAATAAGGTGGAGAATGTTGGAGGTATTGGTCCTACCAAGGCCTCCCTTCCACTTTATTATTAAGGCTTGCACCCCATGTTTACACCCACTTTGATTCCCTTGGTTGAAATCACTCATTGGTGCATGTTGACTTACAATATGTGAGCCCCCCTATTTTGTTGTTGTCCGCTGCACCTCCTGTCTGGCAGCCCGTGACTACCTGTTCATTAGCCTCACCCATGACTTCCCTTGGCAGCCTATTTGTAGTCCTTTGTTTGCCCCTTTGAGTTAAGCCTGCGTAAATAATGCCAGAGAGCAGTGTCTTCCTTCTTCCTTTCCTTGTGTGAGAGTTCCTTTGTGGAGTGAAGAAGAGTGAGTAAACATGGGAGATGTTGTGGCCTAGCCCTAGAGGGTGTGTGTGAGTTTAGTCTAGAGTGGTTGGAGACCTGAGCCGGAGACGGATACGATCCTAACATGTAAGGAACAACTTAACTTAATTCTAGAAACTCAACAACCACTAGCAATTTTTTGGATTTTCAAGTTAACTATTGTCCTTTTGGTAATGGCAAATAGAGTAAATCAATTGAATCTATTAAAATTGCTGAAGAGACAAATGATTGTAATAACAAATGAACTTGCTGAATCTATTAAATTATGAAAAATAATACAGTATTTAAAATATATTGTATTAACATAATGCAATGTTTGAAGGTATAATTTGGAAAAAGATTAAATTAAACCTTAAAACTAATAATGCACAAATGATTTTTGAACTATTGTCACCATATTATTTTAGTCCCTAAACTAATAAATCCATCATTTTAGTCCTTATTGTAAAAGTCAAACGTGGATAAGAGTTTACATTTAAGGCATTGATCACTTTTAAGATTTAAGCTGTGAACTAAGGAGCATGATTTTATTGCATCTCAAAGCTCTCAATACTCTTTCAAACTTTACTTTCTGACAAGAACACCGAATACAAACTAAAACATGAACCAATCCACAATCCAAATAATTAGATGATGGATTGTGAAATACTCCCACAATCTCCAGGAAAATCCGCCCCCCATCATTGAAAACAAACACATAATCCAATCATCGACATGAAAAAGAAAGTAAAAAGAGGGATCCAAAGTCAGAGTATGTGAGCTGTATGGATCATAGTTTGGATGAAGCAGCAGAAACAGCATGTGCAATCAATTCTCTTCTCAAGATCTTCCCGGCCTGAGATTTAGGAATAGAACTGATAAACGAGACACGTCTGATCTTCTTGTAAGGAGCAACCTGCAACAATACATTGACATGTAATTTATCACATCTCTGATCTCTTTGCTACAACAATAAACTTCAAAGCTATTAGCAATTGTAATAGCAAAAGGATATGTATTGTGTGAACTACGTTTTGTTGTGGAGTTTTACTATGATCAAGTTGCTTGTTGAGTCTAGTGGGCCCCAGGCCATTTTATTATATGCGAGTGTATCATTAATTCCATTATTTCCAATGGAGGTAAAGGCTCACATTTTTTTGTTTGAGAATAAGATGGAATAAAGCAAAATAGTTCATCATCTGTTTGCACTTTTTTTTATGGAGTACACACGCAGAAGAAGGGTAGAATAGGGAAAAGTTACTTTATAGCTCTTTCTTAATTTGGGTGTCACTGGGCTATGTTGCATCTAATTTGGAACGGAGGATAGTAACTGTTTAGAATTGATTCTGTTTCTTCTTCTTTATTAAAATTTAAAATAGAATCAGAATCAGTTTTTCATAAACCGGTCTCCCCCAGCTTCTAAAAAATGTTTCTCAGAGCAATTTGGAGCACGTAAAAGTACTTCTACGCTTTCAACAAACATTACAAAATCTACTTCTGCTTCTTAAAGAAAAAATTAAGTAGATCCAAACACCCCTGAATAATCAACACACACAATGACGCTAATTTGCTAGAAGTAAACTCAAGGTGGTAAATGTAATGTTTTGAGAGAACCCAAATGTTACCACATACATAGTACGTTAAAAGCAAATGTTTTCTCATCAATGTAAGGGATAAAATGATAGTTTTGCATACTTGTTTTGCAATAATATCCATAATTTGAGTTTCTGTGATTTTGCTTCCAGGTACTCTGACGATATATGCCATTGGAATCTCCCCTGCTTCTTCATCAGGATATCTGCAATTAGCAGTAAAAGTGATCTATCATTAGAAAAGTTGGCAATTTGATAAGTTACTTCAAGCATTTAATCCATATATCTGCACCTCGAACTTTATAGAAGAGGATAAATTAAAAGTATTTCACAAATATTTTCATGAATGTTATTATTTTTCACAATTACGACCACCATCTTTACCCTAAAAATATGATATATGCACTCCTCAATGAAGATTTATTCATTACTTTTATTCAAAATTTCAGATTGAATGAACATGAGTTGACCCATGTTTTGCACAGATTTGCAGTAAATTCTTATAATATAATATTGATGTGATTTAAGGGACAAGAATATATATATATATATATAGATATATACGTATGTATATATATATATGTATATATATGTGTGTATATATATATAGCAGTTTATTGTGGCATAAAACAGTTTGAAGATCGGAACATACGGAATAACAGCAGCATCAGAAACATCAGGGATTGACTGAAGCAAATGTTCTAACTCTGCAGGAGGAACCTGTAAAAGTAGTTAAGTAAGCACTGTATTAGCTAGCAAAATAAAAGTCGGTGCTTGAATATTACACTTTAAAATGGAGAACAGCATCAAAGTGAACATCCAGTTTAATCACCTGATAGGCTTTGTATTTGATCAATTCCTTCAAGCGGCCTACAATATATAGAAACCCATCCGAGTCAAAGTAACATAGATCCCCTGTTCTTAACCACCCTTGTGAATCTAATGTGGCCAAAGTGGCAGAACTATCTCCCACATAACCTGCCATTTTCCAAATACAGTAAATTTTAATATAGAGATATGTTTCATGTGTTTGTAGAACATCATACATATTACATATAAAGGTCGTATTTCTGCAAAACCAACCATTAACATTGGGGTTTCTTAGTAAAAGAGATTCTAAGTACTATATAGATCACATTTTTCTCATGGCCTTCTACCTTAGGATGCCTAATGCAATATCACAGCCCTATTAGAATCCATATTTTGGTCCGGGGGCATAAAGCACATTGTCAAACCACACTACATATGTGAGCATTAAAACTTGTTAAGTATAAAAACCACAGGACTAATGTTGGCCATCATTCATATACCTTTCATGATTAAGGGCCCACGCAGCAACAGCTCACCGTGCTGCCCGGGAGGCAATGCCGCTCCGCTTTCAGGATCAACTATCTTAGCTTCAACGGTTGGAAAAAGGCGGCCCGCAGAAGCGTACTTGAGGGACTCCTCAGGGCTTATCATCCCAGTAACTGATCCTGAAGTCTCAGTCATACCAAATCCCTGTGATTTACAAGTTCTTAATCAGATACAGAGTACTCCGTAGTAGAGTATGAAACTGGAGGCATGAATCCATGCATAATTCTTCGTACTCTTGAAGCATTCAAGCATTGATGGAAGTCACAGTAGAAGTACACTTTTAGTCTGGTACGTATACCGTACCAAAATTTCGATACCTACACTACTACCTATTCAAAGTTGGTTTGCAAAAAAAAAAATCCAACGTTATACCAAAGTTCTTGTAGACCAAAGTTTTGGTACGGAATGGTCTGTTTACAATATTGCTTGCTTTGGCACAAAATGCATACAGACCTAAATTCAATGGTAATTTAGGGGAAAACAATTAAAAATACCCCAAATTTTGAAGGAGCGTGAGATAAATACCTCAAACTTTCGTATGTAATTTAAATACCACAAACTTTATATAAAAAGTTATTTTAGCACCATAGTATATACTCCCTCCGTCCCCTATAATTGTCTCATTTTTCCATTTTTGGATGTCCCTTTATTATTGTCTCATACCATATTTGGTAACATTTGTGTGGCTCTAACTCATTACCAACCACATAATTCTACTTTTTCTTAAAAACCACACTTTTCCGTACCAATATTAGGGGGCGGAGGGAATATTATTTCTTTCAAAAAAAAATGTTGTAAATTGCATAATTTAAACAAAATTACATTTGTTGCAATTATAGAGTGGGGGTAGTATTATTTATGAAATTAACACAAAAAATTAACATTTTAAAGAAATAATAAATGACCATGGTGATAAAATAATTTTTATATAAAGTTTGGGATATTTAATTTAAATATGCAAGTTTAGGATGCTTACTTCACACACATTTAAAGTTTAGAGTATTTTAATTATTTTTCCGGTTAATTTATGGGCACATCAAAATTTTGATAAACGAACGAGAAAAGTCTTAGATACACTAGTATGATTTTATTTATGGTTCACAAATCTGAGGCATGCACCCCTCAGTCATCATATATCGCTTTCCAATTGGATAATTCACAAATTATACATATTGTATATCGTACAAATATACATATTAGAAGTCAACCCAAGGCATACATATAATCTAATTATGTACGAAGTATGTTAGAGATTTATAACAAAACAAAACATGTACCCATAATACTCCATATGTTTTTTGGTACAGCATAATTTTATTCCATGGTAATAATTAAATACCACCACGAGAAATGGAATATTCTCATGAAGATTGTTCCAGATTACGAAGAAGATAATAACAAGATACTAATATACTAATATGATGAAGTATTAGTATATCCATTTTGTACTGCATTTATAGGGATTAGCTCTTTTAGTTTCATCACTATCATAATTGATTAATTGTCATACTTTTCTTACAACCCAAAAAGAAAATATTAATTTACTTTTTAGCAAAAAAAATATGATTCATATTATTTCATTTTATTCAAATCTCAAATACAACTTTTATTTTTTATCTCCTTTATTATTGTTTTGCATCAAACTAAAATAATAGGACAAAGCGGATATATCAAAACAATTTTTCCATATTAGATTCGGACAATTGGTATTCAGCAATTAAATAAAGCACGTGCAAGCGCGCATATACCTGAAGCACAACCACCCGGGGATACCTCGCCATGAAACTCTCCGCGGCCTCCCTTCCGAGAGGCGCGCCGCCGCAAGCGACCATCTCGAGGGAGCTGAGGTCGTACTTCGTCACTAAATCGGACTTCGCCAGGGCCACAACCAGGGGAGGAGATGCGGGGAGGTAGGTCACTCTGTAATTGTGAATTGCCACCAGCATATTTTCGAAGTCAAACCGGTCCATTATCACAGCCGTCTCCCCCAACGAAACCGTTCTCAAAACCATAAAAAATCCAAACACGTGAAACAGAGGCAGTAGGAGGAGCGATACGTCTGATTTCTCCGTCGAGGAATTTCCATCCGAAAATCTGGTCTGGTGCAGGACGGAGATTAGAGAGATAAAATTACGGTGAGTCACCTCGACGCCCTTGACTCGGCCGGTCGTGCCGGACGAGTATAGAATTGCTGCCGTGTCGGACTGCCTGACTCGGCGATTGGAGGATTCGTCGCTGCTAGAAGATCGGGCCTCGATCATATCGGTAAATTCGGGCGAATCAATGAGAACGGTTCCAAGCGGTAATTGGGGGAGTTTGTTAGAAGCGGCGGAAGTAGTGAAAGCCAGAGAGGGTTTACTGAGTCCGACAATGTGAGCCAACTCGCTGGACGTGGAGAGCGGGTTGGCAGGCGAAACGACGACGCCGAGAGAAAGCAGAGCGAAGAATACAACCGGCACGTGAACGGAAGTCGGCGAAACCACAAGAGCGACCGAATTCCGAGCGAGAGAGGGAAACCGAGATTGGATTGAGCTGGCGAGCGATCGGGTCTGGCGGAGGAAATCGGAATAAGAAAGCTTCCGGCCGGTGGAGGCGTCAATCAGGAAGGTCTCTGAAGCGGCGGTTTCAGGCAAACGAAGCAGGGAGAAGGCGAATTGGGCGACGGAAAGAGGCTGATCGGAGGTGGGCAAGGAGACCGTCGGTCGGAGGCTGTAGAATGTTTTGGTTTCAGAGCAATAGCCACTGGTGGAGTCAATAGCTGCATGCGTATCCATTGATAGATGCAGTTTCTTTCGGTTTGTCGGGAAGAAAGTAATTAGCGAGATAATAATGAACAGAAAAGAGGGAAAACGGATGAATTACCAGAGAGTAAATGACTAAATGCTTACCAAAACAGTTCTATATTCCATAATTAAGACTTCAAAATGCTTTTATACTGTTCAGATAATATAAGATTTGAAAAACTACAGTACTTTTTTTACCCATCTTTCATACGATTCATCTTCCCCTCCTCCATTTCGTCTCTTCCACTTCTTCCTCAACGCTTCCGCTTCTTCTCAGTATATTTTAGCAGCAGCAACACGGATTTGATTAGAGAGAATTCCCTAGATAGGATTAAAAAAGTTTTGAAATTATGAAATAGGAGTATCATGTTTTTTATTACTTGAATATGTGTAAATTTCTGTCAAGTTTGGCATTACTAGGTTTTATTTAAAACATGACAATTTTTTTTTCAAACTTGTCAAATTACTCCAATTCAGGGAATAAAAAACATTAACTCATATTTTGAAATTTCAAAACGTTTTTACTCCTATTTAGAGCAATTTCTATTTTTATTATTACTATATATGTTGATTCTGGCGAGGATTTCAAGTTTTTGTTGATTCACTATTTCTTTTTCATCTTTGCTCAGATCTTTTTGTTCTCTTCTAATCGTTTTTCCCTAACGATTAACGAACTTTATTATTTCCTTTTTTTTATTTTTTTCGTTGATACTCACTCCGTCACGTAAAATAGTTCTCAATTTTCTTTTTAGGCCGTTTCAAAAAATAGTTCATATTGGGATAGTGGGACAGGTTCAGTACTATCGACCCATTGCACACGAGCTTAGGCCCGACAAGGCCTAGGACACAACCCGGCTAGCGAAAAATTGGCTCAGGCTTGTTTACTTATTTATTGGGCTTGCTGGCCCATTAGCATCAGTACTAATTATTAAATTGGGCCAAACCCGCGTAGCATTATTATTTGGACTTGTGGTGGATGCCTATTAATAGGCCATCACCCCCATGTATCCACTACGACATTTCTACTATACTGAAGTGTTGTCACTTTCTCTATTCAGGTTATTTTCTACCAACATTGGTGCTTTCATTGATAACATATCTCTCATTTTCTCGGTAGGAACTTGAAAGAGGAAGCTAGCAGGAGCACCACGACAGGAGCGAGTTTATATTAACATCGAGCACTCCGGGCTACCCAACGGTCATCGCGTGAAAATCAAGAGGCGATGCCAAGGGGAGACCTGCAGGACCAATTGTCGAATACTAGAGACCTGAGGGGTATGCTAAACCGTACTCGTAGCGGGCGAGCTGCTCGTGATCGGCGCAGAAGCGAGCCCCATCGTGTTCCGCGTACGAACCCGGTTGGGGTGCAGGCGCTCCAGGAGGCCACCCATGCTATTGACGCTTTGACTCACGGAATGCGGAGGCTTATGACGCAAGAGGCGGAGCACGAACATTTGAGTCATGCCATTCCCGTGGATTTGGGCACGTCCTCGGGGTTATATGGAGGGCGACGTACCAACACGGATAGATCATAGAGCGAGAATGTGTCTCGGCGGGTTGAGCAACCAAGGTGACCAGGAATGAGGCTTTCCTGGCAACACTCATCATAGGAAGGCACGATTAAAACATGACAGTATTTTCCAAACATGGCATAATTACTCCGATTTTGGGAATAAAAACATGGCAGTCTTATTTTGGAACTTTCAAACTTTTTACTCCTATTTCGGGAATTTTCCCAAAACATGAGTACAAAGAACTTGATTTTGAGAATTTTGTTAAACCCAATTTTGTTTGGCTATGGTTTTTTGAGATTGTTTGTCTGATCTTACCTCATGCAACTGTTGAAGCTTCAAATCCTTGGCTGTCCAGGACTAGGAGAAGAACTGTGCTACAAATATATACTCCTTGTAATTGAAAGGGTCTTTTTTGTACTTTCACTCAATCACTCATATACTATACCACAAATCACTTTTTTATCAAACACTTCAACTTTTACATTTTAATTAAAATCACTTCTCTTTACAAACACTACCTACTTTTACTATAAATTACTTTTCCAATAATCACTTAAAAAAATCACTTTTGATAAGCATAAGCAAACACAAACATAGCTTCAACTACTCTTAATCCATTATCCACATAAAAACTAGCATGTGGATTTCACTCGACATTATCAACTACTCGCCCTTTGATCTTATATCCTTTGTCTCATTTATCATTTTTAATCAGCCGATTAGGTTTGTTGATATCATATTTGCTAATTTTGATTGATCGCAATTTATTCTTACTTTATCCACATTCTATCAATTTAATATTGATTACACAATTTCATTTTTCTTAAATGAAGTTGCAGTGTTGCCTATGATCTCAAACGATTCATGATTTCCGGTCCCTTGGTGGATTGGGTCTGCCCGGTGTAACACAACCCAAAATCCCAAGCTAGGGGTGTTTGGATCTGCTTATTAAATCCGCTTCTACTTCTTCAAGAGCAGAAACAAATATTAGAGTGTTTTGGTGAAAATGCAAAAATACTTCTGAATGCTCCAAATTGAACTTAAAAACAGTTTGTTAGTAGTTGAGAGAGATCAATTTCTGACAACCGATTCTGATTTCGATTTAAAAAAAAAAGTAGTAGTACTTCTGATTCTAATCCTTCGATGTGAGTTTAGGAGCATCACGAAATATTCCCACTTCTGTGTTTGGTGAAAGGAGATTCAAAATGTACTCAGTGGGAATCATCAGCCTCAGTTACTGTTTAGGCAAGAAATAAACAATTTCTTCTAACAATTAATTAGTGGGAAGGGAAATCTCGTACAAGAAAATAAGATAAGAATTGATAATCGAAAGTAAATATTGAATTGATGATTCGATTGATTTCTCTAGTTTGGTGAATGATTTTGATCATAAGGAAAAAAGAATCTCCACCTCTTCATTTGATATTCTAAGCCTATTTATTCTACGTTGTTTCCCATCATGTTGCAACTGCCTTCGGTATTTGTAGCCACTTCCAACTGAAACCGACTTCCCCCTTTTCTCTCCATCATTTATGGATTGCATCCTCACTTGATTGACTCCATCGATCCTTATCCTTTCTCCAGTATATCTTCATTTCAATCATGGGTTGTTAATCTCATTCGAGCATGTTAACGAATTGGCCCATTTGCAAGACCCATTCTTGAGCCCAACAATTGCCCCCTTTCGAGAAGTTGAGGCGTACGGGCGCACACGTCAGTCCGATAAGCATCAACTTTTCGAAATTTTGAAAGAATTCAAACTTGTCATCATTGACTACTGCACTTATAGACTCGTCATTAGTTTGACAAGACATGTCATCAACCCGTCACCCGTATGACGAGACGCTTCGTCAACTTGTCACTTTCCTTGCGAGTAGTTTTTGATCGAATCCGTCTCTTTGACTGAAGCGACGAAGAACGAAGGCTGATCTCCTATCCTTTTCCTCCAAATTTGTGCTAATGATCAGAACTATGCAGTGCTGACGAGTTGAAACTTCATCCAGGTTGATGTTGATGCTTCAGTTGACAAGGGTGACGACAAGTTTGGCTCTGTGGGTGTGACCGTATACTGCAAACACTTTAAACGAAATTTCGTTTGTATATTTAGAGTAATATCGTCAACTTCAGAATGATTGTTTGTTACTATGTCATTCGTATCGATGTCGTTTGTGTCGATGTCATTCGTTTCAACGTCAATTGGAATATGTTTTTATGTATAGTTTTGGAGCTTGTGTTGTCATGCTCTTGGAGCACATGCTTCTGTTGTATATTTCTGTAGTTTTGGCCAAAACAATGCAGAGAATCGATGATGTTTATACTCATGTTTAGCGTACATGAAAACTCCACTTCTTACCCTAAGATTCTATAAGCCCTCCATCAATTGTGTTGTGACGCTTTTGTAAGGCTTTGTTTGATGTATGTTAGGATCCTGTCATTGTCAATTGTCGATTGTTCCTGCGTAAAAAAGAATCTACTAACGTCGGTCGTTGGCTTCTAGCCAACGGCCCTCCGATGCTTAAGTTAGTGAATGTTTATAGATAAATGAAAGTAATAAATTAAAAATATGTATATGATATGCCCCCTGTCTGATGATTCTAATCATCTCATCAAGGAAGTGACTCGTCGTGGAAGTGAATCGTCACGAAAGTGAATCACCAGGGAAGTGACTCGTCACGGGAGTGACTCGTCACGGGAGTGACTCGTCACGGGAGTGACTCATCACGGAAGTGACTCGTCACGGAAGTAATGACATTATGTAAAAGAAAGTAATAAATTAATAACGAAACAACTTTAAGGGTACCGTATTGCAGCTCTTTAGAAACTATCTACCGTCGGACGACATGCCCCCCATCCGAGATTTTAATCAACTTGTCTTGTCCATCTCGTCATGGCGAGACGACTCATTCCTCAGGTCTTGAATAAGGTTTTCCAGACTTGTAATCATGTCTCCTAAGAGATTCTGATTTCCCATGCCTCCCTTCATACTCAACTTGTCTGTGACGGGATCGTAAGTCTTCTTCTAGACGGCTGAAAGCCAATGCCTTTGCTTGAACATCTTCGAAGGATCGACAAGGGTATTTCGTCAGTTCGCGATACAGCTTTGAATCTTCATACAAACCTCTTCTGAATGCTTCAATGACGGTAGAGACGTCACATTTTGGGATCGACACCTTCCTTTTGTTGAATCTGTGCAAATAATCTTTTAGGGATTCACCATGCCTCTGAGTGACTTGATACAAGTCGCTGGTCTGTCTTTCCAATACCTTACTACTCGCGAACTGTCGATTGAAAAGATTGACGAGTTCGGCAAACGAACCGACGCTCCCATTCGGAAGATTGGCAAACCATGTCAAAGCTGGACCGATCAATGTCATGTCGAATCCACGACACATACATGCCTCTTTCTGTTCAGTTCTAACAGAGACTGTCGACATCACTTGCTTATATCGTGTGACATGTTCTCTCAGATCCGTGGTTCCATCAAATGGCTCCATGGTTGGTATGTCAAATTTATTTGGCAGTTCGACACGGATGATCGAACCGTCAAAAAGTGAGTCTTCATAACACGTTTGAGATGTTATGTCAAGTGGAGGGGGAACTCCAGGAATTGCATTGATTCTCTCCTGTATTTATCGTAGCTGGTCCATCATCATAGACATTGTGTCCGCCAGACCTGGTTGAAGTAGTCCTCCTGTTGGGACTGTTGGTCCTGCCATCTGAGTCGCTTCGGGACGGGTTGGTGACGGAATGAATATGATTTCTGGACGTCGCCCCCCACAATTTTGATCCGTCAAAGTGACTAATCTAGGTGGTCGTTGTGTCTGAACCTCAGGTAGCATGTCGTCAAAGATATTCCGTCTGCGGTTCTGCACGAAACTGGACGGACCGGGCTCTCCATGATTTGTTCTTATATAGTGAGGGACTGAGGGCTCCGTCGAGGCTGACATGGCGGAAACCATCTGTATGCTTTGAGTGGTTGAGTGTAAGCCTGTCGTTCTTGATCCGAGACGAAGGGACTCCGGAAAGAAACAAGTTGGTATGCTGGGAGCGGGAGTTGTCTCAGGGACGAGAGGTGTATACTGTATAGGGTGTAACCTGAGAAATGACGATGGGTTGGGGTTCTCCGGTTGGTGACAGGCCTAGTGTGAGGGAGACGTGATCCGTCGTCATTGCAGGTGGATCCGTCGCCGCCGGGGTGAAACCAAGATCAAGTCTCGCGACAGCAGTCCCGGCGTCGCTCCTCCGATTAATCATTGAGTTTGAAGCTATCGACACCACTGATTGCACCTGTGAACGAACAACGTCATTCTCCCGTTGAAGGTGGGTCATTCGTTCCGCCGCCTCTCACCGGATTTCTTCTTTTGCCGCTTCTAGCTGCACATGGAACTCAATCAGCAAAGGATTGTCTCCGGCCATGCTTGATGATCTTCCCCTTGCACGAGGCCCCACGGTGGGCGTCAAATTGTTTAGGCAAGAAATAAACAATTTCTTCTAACAATTAATTAGTGGGAAGGGGAATCTCGTACAAGAAAATAAGATAAGAATTGATAATCGAAAGTAAATATTGAATTGATGATTCGATTGATTTCTCTATAGTGTTGGTGAATGATTTTGATCTTAAGGAAAAAAGAATCTCCACCTCTTCATTTGATATTCTAAGCCTATTTATTCTACGTTGTTTCCCTTCATGTTGCAACTGCCTTCCGTATTTGTAGCCACTTCCGACTGAAAGTCTGAAACCGGCTTCCCCCTTTTCTCTCCATCATTTATGGATTGCATCCTCACTTGATTGACTCCATCATGGGCTGTTTATCTCATCCGAGCATGTTAACCAATTGGCCCGTTTGCAAGACCAATTCTTGGGCCCAACAGTTGCCCTCCCAAATCGGGATAGTTACCTCCAGAGATGATGATGTCTTTGAAGATTGGGACGGTTATGAAAATCAAGAAGCCTGATGATGGCATATACTTTGACGGTTTAAACCTTTTCTATATGAAGATTCATAAACAATTATTAAGTTTCTTCCTGGCTCCTTGTACACAGTGTGGTGATTTCTAAGCAGTAAACACGCCTACCTATATTTTCATCAACAAATGCCACAAAGTAGATGATGATTTCCTCGACCTCAATACTCCTACAGTCTGTAGGCAACTCCCTCATCCATGCCCAGATATCATATATAACATTGCAAGAGGAAGGATGTGCTCCATTATTTATAAAACTTATTACAATTTTATTGAACAGCATACAATCAAATCATATTAAAAGTAAAATGAAATAATCACATAAATTTCAAAATGTGCCTAAACATCAAAATATGTGGGCTGATGGATCATAGTTTGGCTGAAGCAGCAGAAACAGCATGCGTAACCAGTTCTCTTCTCAAGATCTTTCCAGCCTGAGATTTAGGAATGGAACTGATAAAGGAGACGCGTCTTATCTTCTTGTAAGGCGCAACCTGCAACAATACATGGGGCTTGAATCATTTAAAACTTGAACTTTGTCACATTTGTTCACTACAAAGAAAAACTCCAAAAGCTTCTGGCCGCAAAAGGATGTATCAAGGATCGTTGTGGAGAGTTACCAGAACCGAGCTGGTTACTGGAGTCTAATTGGGCTCTGATACAAATTTAAGTCTTTTGTTTTATCCTTAAAGGGTGAACCCCATTGAACTCATCTAAAGCCTTATATTACAAGTGAGTTAGTATCTTTACTTAAGAAATTTTCATTTTTATTGTTCGGCGATTCACCTTTTTCTTGTAGCAAAAAAGCACTTAATTACGAAAACGCCACCAGTTTTTTGGCATTATGGTAATTTTAGATTCACTAAATCTCAGATCTAATACACTTCATTCATTCTGATTTCTCAAATGAGAAATATGAGTAATATTCCGAGAGAACCCTCATGTTTCCACTCACCATACATTCGTTAAAGGCCAGTGTGTTAACATTCATATTATAACCACTTACTGTATAAGATACTTATTAATTAATATAAGGATAACATAATAGTTTTGCAAACCTGTTTTGCAATAATATCCATAATTTGAGTTCCTGTGATGTTGCTTCCAGGCACTCTCACAACATATGCCATTGGAATCTCTCCTGCTTCTTCATCCGGATATCTGCAATGGCCAGTAAAAGCTATCCATCAAAAGAGAAACTGACAAGTTGTTGTTGGCTACTAGAGGGGTGGATTTATCAACACTACCATTTTAAGTAATAACACTCTTGGGTTAGGAGTTCTGTCACAGTGTTCCGGTAAATTCTAGATTTGGGTCTTGTGGATTTTTGGAAACTCTTGGACCACAATGCATGTTATATAGCATTGCATCCAAAAACCAGAGCAAACCTCTTCAGGCATTACAGATTGATTTACATTTCCTTAAAACTGCACCTTGAATTCATGCTCTTCAAAAAGGATTACATCCTTATATCGAACTCTTTTTGGCAACACATGGGAGAACCATTTTTTATGCTAAGCTAAACTATGAACCTTTGATAAATTGGAATTGGAAATACAGCTACCAAAAAGCTACCAAAAATCAACAACATTTACTTCATTTCGAAGTAATCGTGCATACTGAAAATTTAACAAGTAAATTAGGTTTACAAACATTTGTAACATGAAAGAGTGTCTCCGATAAATTACTTGAAGCTTCTTTCCAGATTTACACCTTGAGCTTTCTTATGGGGGGATAATAGATAGGGGAAATTTTCTTATATTACTAAACCATAACTTTTTCTATCATTTGCAATGGAGCCAAAGATTCATTATTTTTTGGCTTAAGATTATGATGGAATAAAGCAAAATGGCTCACTAAACTGTCTGCGCTTCTTTGTTATGAAGCAGCAGTCAGTCCATGCAATTTTGGACGCGATTTTCACTATGGGTCATCCGGAAACAGTCTCTCTGTGCTTTAGTACAGGGGTAAGACTGCGTACATCCGACCCCCCCTTACCCCACCGTAGGTGGGAGCCTTTGCGGCACTGGGGTAAATGAAAATGAAAATGAAAAAAACTAAACCATAACTTATTCTTAAAATTAGATCCATCATTGTTTTTTCCTAAAAAGACTTTTTTTGAAGTCCTAAAAGCACTTCTTCACTCCTAAATGAAGAGACTTTCTGACTACTCTTTTTTCTATACACCGAAAAATATTTAACGACATTTATTGTTCTTTAGAAATGAATGAATCATATATTCCAAATATGGATACTTTATTTATGCCCCTATGGTTTGCTCAGATTTGCAGTAATTTCTTATATAGTACTTCATACAAGCTATTATCGATTATAATTTAAGAGGTTGTATCATAGCAGTTTACTGTGGGATGAAACGGTTTGGAACATACGGAATAACAGCAGCATCAGCAACATCAGGGATTGACTGAAGTAAATGTTCTAACTCTGCAGGAGGAACCTGAAAAATTGTTTTTTAAAGTACACTGTATTAGCTTGCAAAACAGAAGTTGGTAATTGAAGACAAGTCCCTGACTCCCTGTAAAACGGAAAACAGCATTAGATTGAACATCGAGTTCAATCACCTGATAGGCATTGTATTTTATCAATTCCTTCAACCGGTCCACGATATATAGAAACCCAGCCGAGTCAAAATAACAAAGATCTCCTGTTCTTAGCCAGCCTTCTGAATCTAATGTAGCAGAAGTGGCCGAACTATCTCCAATATAACCTGTCATTATCCAAAAACACTCTTCACAGTTAATATACACATGGAATCAAGGCCGTCTTAAACGTTTTAAAGGCCGTATATGGTACTCCCTCAGTCCCAATTTCAAGTTCACATGTGCTATTATTGCACATAGTCATCCGGAAACAGTCTCTCTGTGGGGTAAGATTGCGTACATCTGACCCCCCCTTACCCCACTATAGGTGGGAGCCTTTGCGGCACTGGGGTAATGATAATGATGATGATGTGCTATTATTGCATCCAACTTAACTTTCTTTTATTTTCTAAGCTAACAAATAATAACTTTTATCATATTTGAAGGGATCAGCAATTTTTTATGTAATTCAAAGATATGCAAATTTTACCTATTACTTTCAATTTAGATATCACAAGAAAGAGTTAACTTATCGTTTGTCAATCATGACTCAAACCGCAAACACTCATATGGGATGGAGGAAGCAAAAATATACAGAATACTCCGTATTAATCTAGAAGTATGTTTCAAATATATTTCTTCAAAATCAAACACTAAAAAGGGGGTTTGTAATAAGAGAGCATTTAAATACTATGTAGATTACATTTTTAAAAAATGGCCTTGTATGTTACGAGACCTGGTTCAAATTGGCCTATTAGATGGCACTTCTTGAAATAATACCATTTAAAAGAAAAAGCAATGGAAGGCACTAAAATGATCCATTGTGTCACAATCTTAATAGAATTCATATTTACTCAGGGGGGTCATAAAGCACACACTACATATGTGTGTGGCTTAATGCTTCTAAGGAGTCAAAACCACAAGAGTAATCTTGAACCTCATTCATATTACCTTTCATCATTAAAGGTCCACGCATCCACAGCTCACCGCGCTGTCCGGGAGGCAATGCTGCCCCACTTTCAGGATCAACTATCTTAGCTTCTACGGTTGGAAGAAGTCGGCCAGCAGAACCATACCTGACAGACTCCTCAGGGCTTTTCATCCCAGTAACTGACCCTGATGTCTCAGTCATACCATATCCCTATGGTTTACAAGTTTTTATCAAAAGATTATTAATAAGAGTATGAAACTGGTGGCATGAACGAAAGCATTATACTTTTGCAGCATGAATGGAAGTCACAGTAGAAGTAAAGTTTTAGGCGGGTCTAGCTAGAATACTAATAGTAGTATAGACATGTATATGGTATACTGTACAAAAAACTTCAATACCATGTAACCAAATATAGTTTGTTTGCAAAACTAACATTGTACCACAGTTTCAATATATCAAAGTTTTGGTAGGGAATGGTATGGTACAATAGTGCACGATATTGGCACAAAATCAAACTATTCACCCTTACATTTAAGAGATTGCACGAAACTAAATTCAAAGATACTTTATGAGTATATCTCAATTTTAACAAAAGAACGAAAATAATCTAAGAAATAAAATATTTAAGAATCATACATCAATTAAGAATTAGAGTTCAGAAACCCTCAATGGTTCAAATCTGAGACATGCAACCCCAAATCATCATACATCGGCTTCCAATAGAATAAGTGTCAAAGTATGTATATTATACATTCAAGACATACACATTACACACAGTAGACATCAACTATTTGTGTTAGTGACTAAATACTCCCTCCGTCCCCCAATTAAGTTCCCGGTTTGACTTCACACATATTAAGAAAATAAATTTGACTTTATTGTGGAGTGCACTATTTTGCACTGTTTGGACACTGTTTTGCACTGTTTGGACACTGTTTTGCTTTGCACTGTTTGACACTGTTTTGATGTAAATAATTTGCCAAATAAGGAAAGTAAGAAAATGTGAACTTAATTTAGGGACTGCCCAAAAAGGAAAGTGGTAACTTAATTGCGGGACGGAGGGAGTATTAAAAATAAAGTATACGTAGTCTTATGGGTATGTATATATTTCGGTACCACCATTGTATAAGATTTCAATAAGACTAGCAATTTATCGTACCAAATGGTGCTTATTCTAGTGGTATCCCACATTAATTTTAGTACTACTAAGTACTAATGGCAGTACGCCGTAAGTTGTTATCAAAAAACTACCACAAGATATGGCAAGTTTTTTAAATGCATATAATTTGGGCACAACTAACCTTAAAGATATACTCAGTATTTTTAAGTTTTTTTTATTAATGTGCACAATGCTATCTGTCATAGGCACATAAAAATAAATTAATGACATTTGTCTATCTTTTTTCCATGGTTTTGTCTATTTATGGTAACTATTTCTCTACAATGTCAACCACGATATCAAAAATCTAGGCGTTATGTTTGACATTGCGGAGAAAAATTTACCATTATTATATGAAACAGTTCAAATAAGGAGAGAAATATTTTACTTATTGATTGTCTATGTTTATAACTCTCATGCCACGTATCACGTATGTAGTGTTCACATTTTTGCATTGGAGATGCTCTCTTAATAACTTAAAAGTTCTTAAAAGTAAAAAAAAATGGTGTTGTTTGATAAAATAATGCTTTGTACAACAAGTTTGATAATTAATGCTAAAAGTAATACGGAGTATATTTTTTCTTGGAATTTATTCAAAGTAGATTTTTTTTTTGAAAAAAACGACATCTCAATTAAGATAAGAAATCAGTTGCCATTATACTGACAATACAAGTGGGTATTCAAAGTAGATTCTAAAAAATCTTAAACTTTTAAACCAACCCCCAAAAAATTATATGCGGAATACTAAACATACAATTGGGAACTTTTGGAGACTTTTTAAATCGTGTAAACGCTAAAAACCTACAAACGGGAATTTGAGGGCACTTTAAATACTATACCAAAATCGTGCTATATGCCTATATCAAAGGGCCATTCTGTGTTAAATTTATTGGAATTGAACATATTTTGAAAACATATTCAAACCAAAACTTTGGTGAAATCCATTTTTTTCGATGCCTTCCAATTTAAAACAGAAATGGTATCATATAAACGTAGTGCCTATTTGATACCACTTGGATTGACTGGATCAACGAAATTTGCTGATTTATGGGAAAAATATATTTAAAAGATACTACCTTCGTCCCATAATGTAAGACACGCTTGTGTTTAGTGTAAATAAAAGATAAAGTGGTTGTTTTACAATTCTATCCTTCAAAAGTAAGAAAGAATAAAATGAGTCCACAAAAAGTAAATGGTGAAGTAGTAGATAAATAGAAAACTTAGTAAAGTAAAAAGTTTATCAAGTCCAATTTAGAAAAATGATCATATTTTTTTGGAGCTGGGAATCTGGGATAACTCAAAAGGGAAATATATTTTAGAAAAATGATATATTTACATAATTAAGAGTGCTAAATCAAAAGTTACTGTGATTAGAAAAATGGCTGAAAAATGGCTAATACTTTGAAATTAGAGTTAACAAAGAGCCTCTTGAATTAGTCATGCACCGCCACCGCTGGCAATAGAGATTCAAGCTGTCAAATACAGTACGTAATTGAATGAAGCGCGTGCGAGTACCTGGATAACATCCACATGGGGGAACCTCGCCTTGAAGCGCTCCGCGATGTCCCTCCCGAGCGGCGCGCCGCCGGAGGCGATCACCTTAAGGGAGCTTAGGTCGTACTTCTTCACCAAATCGGACTTCGCCATTGCCACAACCAGCGGAGGTGAGGCTGGAAGGTAGGTTACCCTGTATTTATGAATCGCCGCCAACATTTTTCCGAAGTCGAACCTGTCCATTAATACTACCGTCTCCCCCATCGACACTGCTCTTAGAACCATAAAAAAGCCAAACACGTGAAATAGCGGCAATAGTAGAAGCGCTATATCAACCTGCGGCGCCAGGGAAGTTCCGTCTGAAAATTTGTTGTGGTACAGGACGGTGATGAGAGCGATAAAGTTACGGTGAGTCACCTCGACGCCCTTGACTCGGCCGGTCGTACCGGACGAGTATAGAATGGCTGCAGTATCGGACTGCATGATTCCGCGATTGGACGATTCGTCACCGCTAGAAGATCTGGCCTCGAGCATTTCGGTAAATTCGGGTGAATCAACGAGAACGGTTCCAAGCGGCAATTGAGGGAGTTTGTTAGAAGTGGCGGAAGTAGCGAAAGCCAGAGCGGGTTTACTGAGTCCGACAATGTGAGCCAACTCGCTGGGCGTGGAGAGCGGGTTGGCAGGAGAAACGACGACGCCGAGAGAAAGCAGAGAGAAGAATACAACCGGCACGTGAGCGGAAGTCGGCAAAACCAAGAGAGCGACAGCATTCCGAGCAAGTTTGGGAAACCGAGATTTAATAGAGGTGGCGAGAGAACGGGTCTGGCGGAGGAAATCGGCGTAAGAGAGCTTCAGGCCGGTGGAGGCGTCAATGAGGAAGGTCTCTGAAGCGGCGGTTTCGGGCAAACGAAGCAGGGAGAAGGCGTGTTGGGCAACGGAAAGTGGCTGATCGGAGGCGGGCAAGGAGACCGGCGGTCGGAGGCTGTGGAATGTTTTGGTTTCAGAGCAATAGCCACTGGTGGGGTCGATGGCAACGTGCGTATCCATGGAGATTCAGTCGCTTTAGAGATTTGTCGGGAAGAAACTTATTAGCGTGATAATGAACAGAAGGGATGGAGAAGAAATTCTTCGCCAGCAAACACAAATTTGAATACGTTTAAGATCTTATCGATATTTCAAGTGGCATTAAACATTTCGTATCGTAAAACAGATACAGGAATATACTAAATACGTCATAATACATTTCATTTTGTCACCTTTCTCTCTTTATTTTCCCAAAAAAGTTTATAATTATCCATTTATACTTTTAAAGTTATAAATTTGTGGTCTTATTTATTTTTTGTCATTTGCACAGAATTATTTTAATTCAACTTTCATATCTAACAATAACTTGAGAAAGTTGAGTGGGAGTTTGGAAGCCATAATAATCAGGGATTAGGGAAAAATTAGGGATTAGGGCAAAATCGGACACTATGATTTCAAATAGATCAAATCGAACACTATAGATACGTATGAATCTAATATTAGCCATCAAGGTTTCATAATTCATAGATTTTGGACACACACGACTCTCTTCTTCTTTTAATAAAAATTGTTAGTCTTATTTTTCTTATTTTTGGTGAAAATAAACTAATTTAAATGATGTTTATAATTTTGAAATATTTAATTTGAGGTGCTAGAATATATAATTTGATTTTTATAAATAACTTCTTATATTTAACAAGTTAAAAATATATTTATGACTTTTAAGAAACTTAGGGAAATATCAATTTGTTAAATTAATTTAATAATATTAAAGATTTCAATTACATTATACTCCGTAATAGATTTTTTCATAATTGGAACATCCAGTTTGTATTACCGTCCCCAAATATATTTACTTTCATGTGAATATTGTATTGAACCTTGTTGAATGATTAATGAATTTACGAGGTTGTAAATTCCTGTTAGTTATTATTGCGTGAATAGTGAATTGCATGGGGGGCCACATCGGGAGCGGGGATCACCCAATAATTCCGATACCATATATTATATTCATCTTGGTCTAGATAATATGTATATGGTGGTGAATATTCTAGTTGGGCCATGGGAAGGCCATAGGATTGACCGGCTGGTCAAACGAGACCCAATTACCGGCATTGGTAATTTCATCGGATATCAGTCTTAAATGGATTTCGGAGACTTCTAAATTAAAGTTGGGGATGTATTTTCATTTTAAGGGTCCATAGTGATTTAGAATGTGTGACATATTTTATTTGACCCGATAAAATAAAATATAATTAAAACAGTCCGAGAAATATAACTTTCGGGGTCGATTGTATACTTCGGGACTTAATTGGGTGACCTCCCACATGTGTGGGCCAACCCACGATTTTTTGTCACAAGAATCAAAGTTTGGGCGGCTGAAATAAGAGACGAAGGATGGGAGAAATTGGGTTGAAAGGAAATACATCTAAAGGACATGAGGTGGACCTCCCATCCACACTCATTTGCCCAATGAAACAAAAGATCATCCCTACTCTCCTATCCCTCTCATTTTTCGACCAAGCTTCTTAAGTAAAGAGAAGAACCTCTGCAAACATCATCCTCCATTGATAGAATCAAACTCAACAAAAAAGAAGGTCCAAGGAAGAAGAAGAAGATGGAAAAAGAGAGAATAACCTTTGGTGTTAAGGTCAGAAGCTCTTTACTATCTTTTCTTCCACCTTTTATACATCATATGAGGAACCCCTAGGATTTTTCTACATGTTTAGAAGTGTAGAAAGAGGGGTTGGAAGGTAGTTCTAAGTCCAAGAACGGACTTAGAAGCCAAAATGACCGGTTCCCCGGAAAATAACCTTTTAGAGGTTATTTATATTGATATGGGTTTTATGATGATAAAACCTTGTTAGGAACTTGTTTAAGGTGTTCCTAGAGCTTTCACGGAGTTGAAAGAGTCGCCGCAGTGTTTGTCGGAGTTTGTCAAAGTTCGCCAGAGCTTCGCCGGAGTCCAACCGGGAAGGGTAGAACTTCTTAAAACTCATTCAAGGTGAGTGGATGGCTTAATATTTTGTAACTCTTGGGTTAAGTATAAGATTCCCTAAAGAAATGTTTTAAGTACTCATAATGATGTTTAAAGGAACTTAAGCATGTGATTAGCCAAAGTAATTTGGCTTATGTGAATGATACTACATGATTATGCATAATAAAAGCGTAAAATGTGTATAAAAACATATGTGATGTTTTGGATGGTTAAAATGGGATATTATGTTTGTTTAAGACCGAATACACGTTGTATAAAAGTTTCGGACCGATCAGAGATCATACGGGGTCAACGGACCGCCGCCGTTGGGCAGACGGTGAACCGGTGCCGGTTATGCCACTGCCTGGCCGGGCTTGGAGATTTAATACATAACCGGCGTCGGGTTAGGGCTTAACCAGCGCCGGGTTAGCTGCTGCCACGGGTTCCGACTTCGCCAAAAATGTGATTCGGGCCCGGTTCGAAGGGAGTATTCACCGCGGACATCCTATACAAGTATATTGTGCATGGAATTGCATGGAATATGATATTTAAATGGCAAGTTTGATCTCTAATGATTAAACTCTAAGTCTTGGTTTAGTCTTGATAGACAATTATGATATAGACCCTATCTATGCATGATAAGCGGTAGATCATAGAAGTGAAAGTAAGATGGTGGAGGACCCAAGGACTCAAATGTCCTCAAAACTCATGGTGGAGGACCCAAGAACTACAATGTCCTCAAAACTCATGGTGGAGGATCCAAGGACTACAATGTCATCAAAACTCATAGGGATAACGGTGGAGGACCCAAGGACTCAAATGTCCTCAAAACTCATGGTGGAGGACCCAAGGACTATAATGTCCTCAAAACTCATAGGGAAAACGGTGGAAGACCCAAGGACTCAAATGTCCTCAAAACTCATGGTGGAGGACCCAAGGACTAAAGCGTCCTCAAAACTCATTGACGATGAACTATGAATTATAGACTAAGTGAAGTCCTTATGATAATTGATTTGGACCATGAGGACTCCTATACACTCATAGGTATACGGGTGGGTTGGGATTTGAGTCAAGAATATTGACTACTACTATTTTCCCAAATAAATAATGACTCACGGGTTGGGTATTTCCAAGCATAAATATACTGATATGTATTTCATAACTTGGGGGAAGGAATTATACGTATATGTATCACCCTATGTTTGGATCTTATACTTGAAACGTTAGTTACTCTACATTTAGCTTGCTACTCGCTCGGTACTTGTACTGACACCTTCGGGGGGCACCATTTTCAGGTTAAAGCTAGGGCTTGTTACCTGCACCTTCTTATGGGTGAAGTCAACTCAAGGAAGCCGTGGTTCGTGCTTCCTTATTTCCTTTAAAATCACCAAACACTTGCTCATGGATATTTGATTTACTACAAACTATTTTGAACATGTGAGCCCATGTTTCGGCCGATTGTGGCCCATGCTTTACCGTTGAATATTTCTGCTATTCATTGGTTTGAATGTGATGTTGTTATGTATGTTTACTACTGAGTATGGATGAATTATGTTCATAGATGCTTTGTATGATTAAGTCACGTTGACTTGCGGGTGACGTCACTTGGTCATTCGGCTGTTGTACACGCGTTTAGATGCGGTCTGGGGCGTGACACAATTATATATTCTAAATCTAAATACATGAATTAAGTCATTTTTATTTTTTAGGTACATAAAACAAAGAAAAAAAGGAATACTTACACCTTTCAAATGTGAAAAATCTTCGCTGAGTGATTAAAAATGAGCAGAAAAACATTAAATTTGATCCATTTGAAACTTTAGTATCCAATATGTGATATACATGTAACCATAGTGTCTAATATGGTCCATTTAAAACTTTAGTGTCCAATATGAGATTCACATGTAACCATAGTGTCTAATTTGACTCTTATCCCTAATAATTATTTGTTCCATCTAATTTACTCATTAAGGAGTATTGTTTTCGTTCCCTAAGGATGTCTTTCGTTTGGATTGAAATTTGCTGGTCTTGTCTGGTCTGCTCTAATCTGAATTAGTATGATCTGGTCTGATTTTGACTGGTAAATATCTGGTCTCTGTGTATTTTATAATTACGGAAGTCTGATCTAGTTTTGTCTGATCTGTGTATGAGACTGAAAACAGTACAAAACAAAACATCATAAGATTGGGACAAATGAAAGTTGTGTGATTTTTAAGAAAAATAAAGTTATGTTGTTGATAATGAATTGATAAGTTGGGAATAAAGTAAAAATGAATTAGAGGTACATAAATATTACTAATTATACTCCTATGGAACAAATTCAATGACACAGACGACAAATAAAAATGAGACAATTATATTGGGACGGGAAGAGTATTATGTTGGGAATTTTTCAGAAATGGACCAAAAAGTAAAAAAATATCATTTTTTTTCCTTCTTCAACTTTCTTTCAAAAATAGATTAGGATTGATTTTCTTTTCAATAATAGACCATAACCAACACGGCTACTTGTTAAGTAACGAACTAACGGATTGCATCATTCAAAAATAGTAACGGATTGCACAGGAAGATTGAAAATTCATTAATATGTCAACTTTATGCTCTATAACTACACTTAAAATTTCATAATTTTTGAAAACTAAGTGAAAAAAGGAAAAAAATTAGAAACTTAATAAATTTGGGTGGTTGAACACTTGACACATATAAAATACAATAAATGTATAAAAATTATAAAATTCTGAAATAATAAATAAAATGTTCTTGAAATACATAAACTAAAGTAAAATAAAAAGGGAAAAGTACAACAAAACTTAAAACTTATAAATTGAGAACAAATTATAAACAAATATGTAAAATCAGATAAAAAGATTTTGGAACCATTTCAAAATATGAAAAGTAGTTATAAATCTGTATGGAAGAGTATATTTTTTTAAATTGATAGATATACAATTTAATCATCGAAAACATTAAAAATTAATATAAGTTTTTGATAGCATTTAAAAATTCAAATAAATATGTAATATTTTGAAAGAAATTGAAATCATATAATTAAATTTTGTATAAGTAAAAAATATATAAAATTACTTATTAATTTTGTATAAGTAAAAAATATAAAATATAAAAATTTTAAAAAATAAATATAAATTTTTTATAAGTAAAAATATATAAAATATAAAATTTTAA